TTGATGCCAGGGGCTATCATATAGGCCCTCGGCCTTCACCCCTCCGGCATAATTATTTGATGTCGGGGGAAATCACACAGGCCCCTCGGTCTCCATCCCTCCGGCATCTGTATTTGATGCCAGGGGCTCTCACACAGGCCCACCTGGCCTTGCACCCCTCCGTCACCTTTATTTGATAACGGGGGGTCCTTACAAGCTCCTCAGCTTTTTCATGCAGGATCTAAGGCTGGTCTTCGATATCCCCTCAGTAGACGGACACAACCACCGCTCAAAAATCTAGGCCGAAGGGTGCATTCCTTTTGCTTCATTCTGGGGGCATCCGGTGTACTCTTTTTCCCTCATTAGGATTTTTTTTCCTAATGAGGTTTTTAACGAGGCATCTCCCCATTGTGGAACAAAAGGCGTCACCCCTCGGCGGCTCCTGCTGAAGGCATGCATCACTCTACTCCTGTTTCCCTCGAGAAACTCTCGGCAAAAGGAGTGGGGGACTGGGGGACTCCCCTCAGCAAAACACGCAAATGTTAAAAATTTTCTATTTCTCAGCTACAGCAAGCTGAGGCAAGATCACAACGGCAATCTACTCCCCTCGACATGATGCTTTGGGCTTACAGAATGCCTCCGGCCACACAATGCTTTCGGCCACATGATGCCTCCGGCCACACAATGCCTTCGGCCACATGATGCCTCCGGCCACACAATGTCTTTGGCCACATGATGCCTTCGGCCACATGATGCCTTCGGCCACATGATGCCTTCGGCCACATGATGCCTTCGGCCACATGATGCCTCCGGCCACATGGTGCCTTCGGCCACACAGAGCCTTCAGTCAACAAATGCCCTCGGCAAAGCACACAAATGCAGATCTCTCATTACTTTACAAACTACAACAAAGAAACACATACGAGCAACACACTTACACTCCCTTCAGGAAGCTCTCAACCCTCGACATATGGGGGAATTGAGAAAATGAGGCACCCAACAGAACAGGGAAGCCTTCGGGGAAATCACCACAGCTACTCCTTTTCCCTCAAGTACCTTTCGGCAAAAGGAGTGGGGGACTCCTGATGGAGTATATGGCCCGGGGACCCCCGGCCCACATACTTCCTCTACTACAATCAGGCCCAACATGCCCAAACGGGCCAAGCCCGGAAAAAATGGAGCTCTAAGCAGCCCACAATACGCAAAGGGGTGCCTTCGGCCCCATGGCCGAAGGCTACCAGTGACGGAATCGAGCTCAGAAACATCATAGGAGGACAATGCTTGAAAACCAAGCCTTCGGCAACTGCAGCCCTCGGCAGGTAGGAGCCCTCGGTTAGAAGAGGCATCACAGGAGATCAAGGTTTGAAAACCAAGCCTTCGGCACCTGCAGCCCTCGGCAGGTAGGAGCCCTCGGTTAGAAGAGGCATCACAGAAGAACAAGGCTTGAAAACCAAGCCTTCGGCACCTACAGCCCTCGGCAGGTAGGAGCCCTCGATTAGAAGAGCCTTCGGCCCAGCACCCTTCAGCCGAAGGCATCCACCTCGACAGAATATCCTCTTCACATGCGCCTGGATCACCGTACCAAGTACAAACGTCACATCCAACCACCGCATTTAATGCGGCCACATGCGAGTGCCAGTGCCACCCCGGTTGAGGTGACCCCTCGACCACCAGAAAACTGACATGTGTCCTTATCTGGCATTTATTACTACTATAAATAACACCCCTTTCCCCCATTGTAAACCACGACATTCATACTCAATACACTCTCTCTCTTACTTACTTGTGCTCTGACTTCTCTCTAAGTTATTCTCAGCAATAACCCCTCGGATATATACCCCCGGGTAGACTATCCATCAATATTGTTATTTTTTTCGTGTATGGACTCAAGTAGTCAAGTGACGTGTTGAAATAGTCAAATGAATTTAAACATTTTTCCACAAATTTATGTTCAAATATAATTTAAGACTGAAATAATGCACTTTCACATATTTGCACACCCCCATGTTTTGCCTGTTTACACGGGCAATTCATTTAAAAATGCAATATGTATAAATGTATTGTCACTATATTACTTAGTTATTATAAATAGATTTCCTTTAATTAATATATAAACCTTATACAATTGAAAAAATATTCGCCAAAGGTATTTGTGTGTCGCGCAAGTGATTTAGTAGCACAACATTATACCAGAAGAAGGATTTTAACAGCCATTAGTAGGGGACACAAGGTGTTAATTCTCAAACGTAATGCCACGAGTCATGACAGTAAACAAAAGTCAATGAAAACTGTTGTCACGTGTTGATTTGTTGTTGAAAACTAATTTTAGTCATGATCAACTTTACACGATTGTATCAAGAGTAATCATTTGTCGAGCATTAAAAAATTACATTAATTACAAACGATGACAGAGGAAAAAACATTAAAACCGATGATGTTGTGTATAAAAAAAATGCTTCATAACATTTAGCATGAAATGTGTTTTGTTTTCAAATTATATTTATATTGTGTGCCTATAAATATTTGTGGGCCTATAAATATTTGTGTACTACTTTACAATCATCAGTAAATCATATTAAATATATTTCATTTACGTTAAACTTTATTATCATACAGAGTATAATTTTAAGCAATTTAATTAAATTACAAGTTTTTTTTTTTTCAATTTTGACTAAAAGTAATTATACACGTGTAACTTCATCAACCGTGCATCGCACGGGTAAGTTACTTTAAAAAACACTTCTGCCCAGAAAACAAAATGTACTCTTTCCGTTCCTAAATAAACTTCCAAATTTTCTTTTTTCTCCGTTCTAATTAAAACTTCCACTTTCGTTTTTTAGTAAAGAATTTGTGGTTCACAACATTTCTTACACGTTTCTCTCTTCTCTGCACAACTCTCCATCACACGATACCCACTATGCTAAACCGTGTGACAAAACTATTTGGAAATTTCATCCCGTCTTGGTGAAATGATGAACACCCCCAATGTCAGAAAAAGTCAGATGACTAGTAAATCCATTCCCTTGTTCTCTGGATGTAAGCAAACTCCTTCAATCATTATTACTTCATGCGAGAGGAGCTTCTTTGAACTGTTCTTGGTATTACATAACCAAATATATATACTGATATACATATATATGAGAGAGAGAGAGAGAGAGAGAGAGAGAGAGAGAGAGAGAGAATAGTGAATGGAAGATCACAAAATCTGCAGAAGCCTCAGGCAGATCTTGTTTGGAGAGATTTGTAGTGTTTGATCATCAATTTAAACTGCTTAAGAACCAAGGATAAGATGCTTGAATCTCTTGAGTAAATCAGACAAGGCAAAAACCCTTGAATGTCTGATTCCAAATCATCGCTTGGAAGATCACAAAATCTGCAGAAATCTCAGGCAGATCTTGTTCCAAAAGATGACGAATCACATTCACATGGTCTGTCTGATTCCAAATCATCTCATTCATTCAACAAAATGGATCAGTGACATCTGGCATGGCAGTAGGTTGAGCTTTGAAGCAAGCAGGGAATTGTGTCCGGCCAGAGACAACTCTTTAACTACAGAGTTAATTGTACATTTCTGGATGACCTTTGGAAGACAAAAGCATGTGCAAATGTGTCCCAGTCATGCTAGCGAGCTGCCCCCACACTAAACTCTCCTACCCATTAAGCTCCAGCTCCTAAAGGATCTATATAAACACATTTCCTCAGTTGGTATTCACAACAAACACAACTACATCCTCCGCAGAGATCTCTCTTTCTTGAATTAACACTTCCTCTAATTTCTAGAGACGTTTGAATATGGCAATCAGTATGGGACACATCCTCCGTGGCAAACAAGGCCTCAGAAGGTCTTCCTCAAGAACAAACAGGGAGAGCGGGGTTCCCAAGGGTCACTTTGCAGTTTATGTAGGCGAGAGCGAGAAAAAGCGCTTTGTCATTCCGGTTTCATACTTAAAAGACAGCTCATTCCAAGAATTGCTAAGTCAAGCTGAAGAAGTATTCGGATTTGATCATCCAACTGGTGGACTTACAATACCGTGCCCGGAGGACACCTTCATTGACATCATCTCCAGTATGTGTAGATCTTTATAGGCTACATGCAGCGTAGTGTATTATGTATATCCAGTAGGACCAATTTTGATTAGAAAAGTATACTTGTAAAATTGTCTTTGTTCCTGATCAGATTGAGAAATATAAAGTTCAAAGTTTTATCAATGGCCCTGTCTTAATTTATTACTTATCCTGCACCTATATGGGAAAGGAAGTCTAATTAGATCAGGTCCTTCAATGTTTTTTATTCAGACAACTTTAAGAATTGCCAAGTAATATCATTTTCATTATTAGATAGCGGAAGAATGAACAGCTTCTGATTGAAAATGCTCCCTCATGACTATTTAAGTTCTCTAAGACTCTAACCCCTGTTGAAAATGAAATCATCTTTGTGTTGGCAAATTTTTGCCAGCCTTAAGCTAGTAAGCTAGTTGATGAATGGGACAGTACAAGACATGTACATAATCTGCTAAATTGCAGATTAAATAATGAAAATGCATATGGAAGTGTCTGTTTAAGGTTGTTAGGTTAAGAGTTAAGACCATTTCTAAAGAATATGTCTCTCAGTGGTGTGTTTGGTTTACGTTCAACCACGTTGCCCCAGTTGGATGGAGCGCTTCACATGCAATTATAAAAGGATAAATGCATTCACATGGTTTGTTTCCACATAAAGTCCTCTTTTTTAACTTACTGATTCAACTTCATCTCTCATTTGGTAGACTTTTCTTGAGTGGTTAAGCTATCACAACTTGGCTGAATCAAGTGGGGACTGATCTCCATTAACTACAAAGCAGTTGGTAGACATTATAGATGTTTTGGAAGAACAAAGCATGTGGTGATGACAGGAGTGGTTGAGCTATCCTAATTTCATATCATTCAAGCTGGATCCCTTCTCATCTATACTACTCGTACTTCCTAACAGGTCATACCTATATAAACACATTCCAGTTAACATTCCACCCATTCAACTCAAGGGTTTCCTATCTTCATACAAACAAAGCTTCTGCCATCAACTAAAACTTCCTACAAAAATATGGCAATAAGTATGGGGCACATTCTCCGTAAGCAAGGCCTCAGAAGGTCTTCTTCAAGAACAAATAGAGAAACTGAGACTCCTAAGGGTCACTTTGCAGTTTATGTTGGTGAGAGTGAAAAGAAGCGTTTTGTGATTCCAATTTCATACTTGAAGGATCACTCCTTTCAAGATTTGCTAAGTCAAGCTGAAGAAGAGTTCGGGTTTGATCATCCCATGGGTGGACTCACAATACCTTGTCAGGAGGATACCTTCATTGACATCATCTCGAGTATGAGTAGATCTAGATAGAATTTATACATCTTAGGTTATAGTTAGTTAGCAGAACAACTTTGCAGAGAAAAATATTCTTGCACAGAGTTCTATATCTGTATTCTTCTTGAGATTGGAATATACATTTTTTCAACAGCAGTAAGACTAAAACATTTATGTTTCTGAATGCTTTCTATCTGAAATGTAAACTAAACTGCAATATTAGACTACCTGAAATGAAGAATTCTGCGGAAATGTGGATTTGTTGCAGAAGAATCTTTAATCATTATTATCCTTATACAAACATATTTATTGAAGATAAGTGCTTATTCATAAATCTCACTGTAGTTAAATGAGGAACCTATCGATGATTTCAGATGATTTCTATAAGTGAATACTTAGTATATTGGTGTGTTGGTGCATCTATTAGCGACTTCAGTAATATTAACATAATTTCTTTTTTGAATTTCATTTGGCTCATTACTTTTTGTACATGCAAACCAATTATTTCCATCAATTCTATTATTACTGTACTCAGAAGCACGCACCTACAGGTGTTCATATCAGCAAAACACTATAGTGTATCAATAACACCAAAAATAGGGTTACTGGATATGGTATACTCTCTACCTACATTTACCAAGGGGCTGAAAATGAAAGTCTACTATTGGTGTTTCCTTTTATTATAGAACAATAAGCCTCGATTTCTGCCTTCTGTGTATGAAAGTAATCTGGTTGGTATAATGGCTGGAGACAATAAATAAAGTATGTAGCCTTTTGAGTCAAGATAACACTGCATTTCTTTAAACTAATAAAAAAGGAGAAGAGTCGTCCATATTTTTATACTACATCTGTTCCACTAAGTTCGGACGTGAAGTTTTAAAGAAGCGTAAATGAACAATGAGATTTCCAGATATTTAATTTGTAAAATTAAGAGTGATTGTGAGCTTCGAAATATGGCCGAATTTGGAATAGGGCAATCATTTTTTATGGCCTAAATAGGACGGATGGAGTTGAAGTGTTTTTAATAATGATCTCAGAACAACTTAATGAAGATGAACTAGCAGATATAGTTTTCTGTTTTTGTAACAAGAAGACAACCAGGAGATCAAGGAGCCTGAAATGGAGAAGCATTCCAAAGATGGCTGTGTTGATCATTATTACATGTTTAGTGGAACCATGATTAAGAACGGATTGTCAATAACTTATGTGTGTCACATAGTTCATGTACAGTTTTGCACAACTATACACTCACTATTATTATAAGGCATACAGCTTTTTGTTCATTATTTTAAAATATTATAATATAACCAATAAATTTCAATAAACGCCTCTATGCAGATAAAAAAGTATACTCCATATTAGTTAAGAGTCTCGTTCCCCCATTTACAACAAACAGGTTGACTTTGATATCAGCAAACTTGGCATATACTTGCAGTTCCTGGTTTCTCTACCTTATCTTACTTTGGTCTACCGGAAATGATAAACACCCGAGTTTGAAGAAACTCGGAATTGTAGATGCATTCTTTTGTTCTCTAGATGGAAGCAAACTTCTGCCATTTTTTTGCTAGCTTGTTCTTAGAACTGATCATGGTATTAAATAAGAAAATTTTAAGAGGGACAGAGAAGATAAGTTGATGATTAAATAGCATGTAGAAACGTCAGACAAATCTTGGTTGTACTGATATAATGTTTGATGAACGAAATGCCAGTATGTAAGTGATGATCATAAATTTAAAGTGTTTAAGAGGCTACGAAAATGAAGTTTTTGAGTAAATCAGACAAGGGTAACAACCATGTTATACATAAATGGGGCATGAGATCATAAGGTTTTGATTCCAATTCATCTCATTGATCCAATCAAATGGATCAACGACATTTGGCATTAAATTGATCTTCAAAAAATATAGGCAATTGTCTTATGACTGCCTTTTAGCCACAGAATTCTTAGTAAATATTGGATGTTCTTGCAAGGACAAAACCATGTGAAAATTGTCCTAAACATGCTAGCTGGCTGCCCCCACCCTAAACTCTAGTCTCTAGCCACTTCTTCCACCTCCTAAAGGATCTACATAAGCACATTTCTTGTGATCAACCAATACTCAACTACATCAACCTCAAAGATCTCAGTTTCCTGAATTACGCTTTGTCTAAGGAAACATTTGAATATGGCAATCAGCTTGGGTCAAATCCTCCGGGGTAAACAAGGCCTCAGAAGATCTTCTTCAAGAACAAACAGAGAGAGTGAGGTTCCTAAGGGTCACTTTGCAGTTTATGTAGGCGAGAGCCAGAAGAAGCGCTTCGTCATTCCGATTTCATACCTGAGGGACGACTCATTCCAAGACTTGTTAAGTCGAGCTGAAGAAGAGTTTGGGTTTTGTCATCCAATGGGTGGACTTACAATACCTTGTCAGGAGGATGCCTTCCTTGACATCCTCTCTAGTATGAGTAGATCTTGATAGACTGCAGGCATCTTAGTTTATAGTCAAAATAACAATTTGTAGAGAATATTTTTCTTGTATAGTGTTCAACATTTTTTACCAACCAGATTTGGAAATACAATTTTTTGAATTTTATCAGAACCTCCGTCTATTTATTACTTGTGAACCCCTTTAAGTGGTAAGAAAGGAAATTCTATTCTTCATTATTCTTACAAGTATATGAAAACTGTGGTTCAGCAGTATAGCATATACAGTTCTAGATCTTCCCTTTCTTGAAGGAAAACAAGAAACTCTCTACTTATTAAGTTGAATAATGTCCATGGACAAGATATTTCTCAATCACTTCACACATAGAGTTGTGTCCAACTTCACTGAGTTGATTATCCAATACAATGGATTATGAAACTACACTGCACTATTAGAGAAACATAAATGACGCGAGAAATTATAGATCGCATATTTGTATTTTCATTTTTATCAGCTATTGTCATATCCGTATAAAGTTATATGAGATAAATGATTGAGTGACATTTTAGATCAGAATGTCTTACAAGATAGCGCCAAATTTATATTTGAGGAGGGGGTTTGCATTAAACCCTGACCAAAAACTTCAACTGATTTCAAGGGAGGATTTCGTACTAATTTCGTACATTCAGGGTGAGCTAACTGAACTCCTGCTTCTACTTATCTCATGTAATCATGTATAGACTCGATTATTGTTCCTTTCCGGGATATGTAAACAACTGGACTTAGTTATTGTTATTCGGAGTAATAATTAGCCTGGAGGCTGAGTTGTTATCTTCCCTGGATTGCTCAGTTTCTAAATTGCAGTGGTGGTAGACTTCAAGTGCTAACATTTAGTGGGTCAAACAGGAAGATGCACAAATAGGACCTCCATAGCTATCTTCATTTCAGTTTCTCTTAAAGTACAGTGTAGTTTCAATGTCCAGTGGAGTGACTAGTTATTCTATCGTCCAACATGCGTTAGTTTCTGATCTGGAACGTCTGCGTAAAGGTCATTGGGGTTGGGCACCAACCACACCGGTATGTGTGTAAACTACGGAGGTGAATATCTTGAACACATACATATATTGGATTGGATAATGATGAAGTTTTACTGCTAAACCTTAGTTCCTGTAACCTTTGAAAGATCTGGAATAGTTAGACTTCCTTTAAAACCACTTGATGATAGGTTCAAGATAAGCAATATGCGTAAGGTAATAGATACAGAAGTATTGATTAAATTTTTAAGATTATATTTCTCAATCTGATCTGGAAAACAAACAACAATATACAAGTATACTTTTCATTTAAAAAAATGTCTACTGGCTATAAACTAAACTGAATGTCAGTCTGTCAAGATCTACTTATAGAATAGATGATGTCAAGGAAGGTGTCCTCAGGACAAGGTATTGTAAGTCCACCAGTTGGATGATCAAACCCGAATTCCTCTTCAGTCTGAGTTAGTAAGTCTTGAAATGAGTGCTCCTTCAAGTATGAAATCGGGATGACAAAGCGTTTCTTTTCAGTCTCGCCTACATAAACTGCAAAGTGACCCTTGGGAACCCCATTGTCTCTGTTTGTTCTTGAAGAGGACCTTCTGAGACCTTGTTTACCACGAAGAATGTGCCCCATGCTGATTGCCATGTTCAAAATGTTTCTTTTCAAAGTAGAGGCAGTGCTAATTCAAGAAATTGATATCTCTGTGTAGGATGTAGGTTTCTGTGTTCAGTGTGTTGAATACCAACTGAAGAAGTCTGTTTATATAGATCCTTAGTAGGTGAAATAAGTGGCTACAAGAGTTCAAGGGTGGGTGAGCAGCCAGCTAGCATGACCAGGACACATTTACACATGATTATGTCTTACAAAGATCGTCCAGAATTCGTAGTTGTATCTTTCTTACAATATAGCTTTCATTGAATACGGATCCCGTACATGCCTCAACTCTGTGGGCAAAGCTCAATCAGACGTTGATCCGTTTGTTTGGATGAATCACAATGTTTGGAAGCAAAACCATGTGAATGTGATTCCTCATTTATGCGGTACATGGTTTTGACTTCTAAAAACAACCGATGGGGGTTGGGGATAGGGGTGGGGTGGGGTTGGGGACATGGTTTTTCCTCTCAATTAGTTTGAATAAATAACTTCCATATACATTTCTTTTTCCTACAAAGGTTTTATATAACTCGATCTAACCAAGACCTGAGATTTCTACAGATTTTGTGCTCTCCCATAATCAGTTCCAAGAAGCGTTTTTTAATTAAAATTTTCTCTGTATATATTCAAATGTGAGCAAAGAAGATTAAGCTCTATAATGTCCTATTCAGTTTCTGACAATAAGGTTTTATAGTACCAAAAAATCACTATCCACTTTCATTAGTTTGTGAGCTCAATATACTAAGCATTCTTTTGTTTTCAATCAATCCAACATCAATAGCATTCTCATGTAACAATAGTCTGATGGAGTATATAATTAAATTCTTATTGCATATGAATATGTTTGCATTAGAATAATGAATATTCATGTATTCAACAGACCTCTTCGTTCTCTGCAATTGCAGTATAGTATATAATCCATGCTGGAGATTTAAAATACAAGAAATTTGTCAATCCACTTTTCTGTATGAACTGTAATTGCAGAGTATTAATTTAAGCAATAGTTATATTCATATGTTTCACTATGTCCTATCTGGATAAAACGAATAGCAGTCCAAAAAATTGAAATGGCCTATCTTGTACTACATTCTGATCTAAAATGTGTACTTAATCATGTATTGCATTTAACTTTATAATTATATAACTATATGTCTATCGCTGATAAAAAATGAAAAAACAAATGTGTG